TGCCAGAGCTTCTGTGCCATCTTTAAAGAGGTCTGATGGTAGACCGTCTGATCCAGCTACATTGTAGCGTTTCAGGGCTTGGATTCCTCTCGAATCTCCGCTTCTGTGGATGGTTCCGGGAATAGTGACCTGGGTGTACTCTCAAAAGAACTACTTAAGGCAGCCAGCGCGAGGGGCTGGTTGACCTGCGATGTGAAGGGCTCTTCCCGGCGTTCCAAGCGTCGGTTAATACAGTATATTAGCGTGTCGTCTACTTCGCAGATTGTTTCACTAACGTAGCCTTTGGGGGGCCTTAGCACAAATGAGTTGCAGTAATTGCCGGGTGATTCCTAACCTAGCTGCTGATTCCATCTCCTTTGCATGTAGCGTCCACCAGGCTGCCCGGCCGTCTCTCAAAGTCTTTGTGAGTTTGCGCTTCAGAGAGAGGCGCTGAACACTATGCTCGCGGTCTGCCGGGATTGTCCGACATGCGTCAAGAAGTCTGAGGGAATTGGCGGAGACCCAATGTTTTACAACTCGACGGGTCAGACCGCAGCTGTGTAAACTAGCTAAGTGCATTGCGTTTTGAATGGTTGTCCAGTGTTGTTCCACATCTAGTGGGGTAGTAGTTAGCCTTGCGGCCAACTCGTTTTGGTAGTCGGCTAGCATGGCCGGTAGGGGAATCCGGCTGGTAGCAGATGTGGTTAGGCTATGATCCTCCTTTTCTACGTTGGTTGTTCGCTACTGATTATTTCCGTGATTCCCAAACGACCTCTCTGCAATGTCCGACAAAGTTGGCATTTATTCCAGACACACGTGGATTTGGTATACGTTAGGTTCTTCAGTTGACTTTATCTTTTTTTTGGAGGGGGGCGCTTTACTTTATATTTTCTTACGCCTGAGTTAAGTGTGCCAAGCAAATCACGATACAACAATCTTTATAAAAATGCATTGGGAGCCATTGTTCAGTTCATCGGATCTTCCTTCTTTTGGACGGGGTCAAATGTCCAAGGTGCCCAATACACCTCGATGGCCAAGGAAGCTGATGACCACCGCCACAACCGGGAAGGCGTGTGTATTTCGTACGCCTCGTCTTGTTTGGCTTGGGTTCAGGGTTTTTAACCCACTCCTTAGGTAGACTATTAGAGGTTCACCGACCGGGATATAGCCCCCGATATTTGCTTTCCGTCTTCTCACTTTGGTGGGAAAACACTTAGGCCACGAGAAGGCAGTGAGTGGGGCTTACTCAGCAGAAGCTATTTGAGACACCTGTTCTTATGGGAGCATTTCGCGAAGTGCAAGGGAGTGGTGACCAGCCGCAGCCCGAGCACTCTCCCTCTGATCATAGAGTCTTTCTGATGTGCTTTACTTTACTAGAATTTTGTCATTTTTTAACTTCATTAAATGGTGGATACTTTTTTCTTTCAGGATGACTTCCGCCAACCCCTCGGCTTTCTACGAATACACGAAGGCGCTGTGCCAGTCCTTTTTATTTTCCAGTCTGAGCAAAGACGAGCTGTCACAAATTTCGGTAATGTCGCCTCTTGAATCTTTCCGCTCTGATAAGCTCGATGATAAAAAGCTGGTGGATATCCTGATCACACTTGCTGGCGAATTTGATAGACGATTCTCCCAACCTTCAACCATGGAGCAAACAATGCGGCAACTGGATCTTTCGGAAGATAACTTGGATAATATTCGTGATGTGTACATAGAGGTTTTAAATGGAATGTTCCGAAAGTTGAACTGGGGTCGAATTGTGGCAATGCTAGCATCCCTCCGTATGCTCGCCATGTATTTATTAAAGCGAGGTAGACGACGTGATGTGGATGACCTGATTGAAAGCACGGCCATGTACTGTGATGGAAAGTTGCGAATATGGATACAAAGACACGGTGGTTGGGTAAGTTTTATTTGCGCTATTCACGCCCCTAATTTTGGATAGACTCGTTCGAATTTTGGTGTTTTTGTTTCAATGTCAATGGCGAATGACTGGTGTCAGCCAACACAGTGTCACGCTGTT